GTAAGTGCAAGTGTTATTAACCTCATTATGCAGAAGGTTGAAGTAAAATTTTTTTCAAATAACACTAAAATTGTTGCTGGCTTTGTCAATTTTCGTGATGATAAAGTTATCTTGCAGTTTTTGAATAAGATTTTCTAGTTGCTTTTTACTGTGTAAAGAATTGAAATAAGGCGACTTGAATAATAAATGTTGAAATTCTGTAATTAGTGCAGCTTTCCTATTCAAGAAAAGTAAGTAGTAGGTAAATTGGATCCATTACTAGCTAATATGATGAATTTATCAAGATCATTATTGAATTGTTTGAGGCAAAAGTGCTTATTAATACTGAAAGTAGGACGAAATTTGGTGCCAAGTTGCATAAGGGCTCGCAATTCTACATCTTCTATGATATTTAGATCTCCAGTAATAACATGTTGGTGGAAAGGATCGACATATTTATTGTAATTAGGTAGTAGGCAATTACATTTGCTATTTTCTTGTATAACGTGGTGGTTGATAACTAGTTGACCTAAGGTCTTTTCAAATTTAAAACAGGGCTTAATTTGAAGTTGTTGGTCATTAAGCAAGTGTTGATATTTTTTAAAAATGCTTGGAATTTTGAGCTGAAAATTGTCGGATCATCTATGTATAGAATATGTGTTAGCAAGATATACGAAAGATGTAACAAGCAGTGGAAAACTTATAATTTAACTGTCTGGCAGTTTGGGCTGTCAAGATAATCAATATATTTGACATCCTGTTTATATTAAATGCAGTAATAACTAAAAGCAAAATATGTTGTATCTTTATTTAGTTGTCGCTTGTGAAAATAAATTGCTCAATAGCTCATGGTCACTAAAATCTCCTGGCTTGCTTATACCACTTATGCGTAAAGTTTGTTACCATGCTTTGAATTTAAATTATGTTTTAGTTTCAGAAATTCTAGCAGGAATAAAAATTACTAGTAATTCTAGTTATCATGCTAAGTAACATCATGCAAGCAAATGAAAAAGTAGAACCAAGTGATTAACAAGGCTTAGAAGAGAAGGTCTAGTTCACAGAGCTACCCTGAAACAGGAAGTGAGGAGTAATGATGTAGTCATGCTGACATTAATTACAAAAACAGAATTCTCAGTAAAGAAATAAATCTTTTAAATTTGAAAAAAAAACTGTGCGTGAAAAAAATAACTTCAATTTAGAAGAGAAATGTTATTACTGTAAGCATTTATAACATTTAAAAAGTTAATAATACTTATTTATTATTTTTTAAATAATAGATAAAATGTGCTACATTTCTTTAAAAGCTGCAAGTTTTTTCTCCCTGTGCATTTATTACTAAATGATAGGAAAAAAACAACTATGGCATTTATTATCTTTTCTTCATCTGCCTACTAAATGGGAGAATTCTATTACTCTATGATAACTATAATAACAGCTTTTTAAAGTTAGGCCCTCCCCCAAAAAACCCTTAGCTTGGCATAGTTTTGAATATGTATGTCATTTTTTCCCCTGCAGCTAAAGAAGAATAACTTATATTTGACTGCCCCTGAAATCGAGATAGCTTTATTCAAAATTTAATCTAATCCAAGATTGCCTTTTTGACCTAATTATAAATTTTATATTGGCATGTTTCTCTTCCTGTTTGATATAGTAACATATATTTAAAAAAAATTATCTAATTTATACTCACATTTATGCACATATATTGCATTTAAATAAACACAAGGTCATTGTCTTAATTTTAAGAAAACAACTGTGCTTTATAGTATCTAAAGTAATTACTTGATCTTTCAAAAGAGAGGAAAAGGATGAAGATCCTTTTAATGTGAAATTACTTTGACATTTTATACGATTCTAAATTACCCTAAAATGCTTATCCATGCATTCTTATTTAGTTTTACAGTTAGGGCATTCAGCAATATTTACATTGTTATTTGTGAGTTCTGTTTTAAAATAATTTGTATTTGATTTATTATTCCTATCATCATTTTCGTAATCGGCCTCAAAATTAATTTTCTTCAAATTTAAGTCATGTTAATTAATAAATTTTGAAAGCACTCTGCATTATTTTTCTTTTCCTTGCATAGTATTGGATTTTAACAGCATCTTTTGCAGCAATCCAAGTAAGTGACTTTTTATGTCATTTTCATGATCACTGCATAAAAAATATTTGCTGCAAATTCATGTATTCTTCAGATTAATAGAATCCTGTCTTCGACACACGTATCCTTTTTTTTTTTTTTTTTTTTTTTTTTTTCCCCCCAACCAGAAGCTATTGTCCTTTGGAAAAATATGAAGTGCAAGATCACTATCTCTCTTATATCCATGAATTTTATGGCACATTGCTACAATGCGAGAAGACATATTACATAAATGATACTTTATAACAGTGGTCTCAAACTTGCATTGTATACAGGCCAGTGCACAATTTGAAAGTAACAGCTATTACAAAAAAAAGGGGCAAGTGAGTTTTTTAAGAGTATTTAATTAGAGTAATTTGTATTTTAAAAATCTGTGAACAAGAATTATATCATAGTGTAAATGAATCAGCTCTATTTCTAGATTTTTTGAAGAGTTACGTTCATTTTTGGTAATGAAAATAACATAAAACTGGATGCCAAACTATTAAAATCTTAAGCATTTTCTTCAAGTTCTTGTTATAATAATGCTAATTAATTTACGGGAAATGTATTCGCAGGCAGTATAAAATTGGTTTGAGGGCCCGCTATTTTGACACTGCTTTACTAGAAAACAATATAAGTGATTAAAATTAATTTAGGATGTCCACATTGCTAGCTTTAAACAGGTGAAGTCAAACAACCAGATGTAACATAGTGACTTTAGCCTACTTCCTGCTAACTCTCCTTACGAGGATTGCGTTGGCGAGGAGTCGCACAAAGGAATGAGCTAGCCAGAGCTAGCCCTTCTCTTTAACCCTGGTGACTAATGTCATGCAGTAATCATAAAATAAGCTGAAGAAAACTGTATGGAGAGTTGCTAGTGGCAAAATGTTGTAAACTGTGAAACCAGATTTTAACACTTTAATTTTCTTTCCCCTCTGTTGTAGTTTTTTATTGCAGTAATTAATATGTATTATCATTACATTGCTTATTCATATTCAGTAATATCAGTGGTTAATGAATGTTGTTTGACTTTTTTGGAATTTTTCTTATGTTCGTTAAGTTTATAACGAGAATCTGTTATTAATTTGTGTGATATTAGTTTTTCATTAATGTACTTACAGGTTGTATATTCTTTGATGAAACTTTCTCCGCATTTGTATAAGAGTTGATTCAATTTAATTATTAATTATAAAAGTCCATATTAGTGTCCTCACAAGCTGATTACTGGGAAATTTTTAAGATGACAATAGAAAAAGGAAGTATGCAAACAGTTTTGATATTTATAAAACATTGTGATCTGCAATTTGCATGAGTTCTTTTCAACATTCTTGGTAAACTTGGGAAGGTATGAAGATGAGAAGAAAAGTTTGTTTATGCTCCTTCTGCAAAAGTGAGAGGAAAAGGGCTAATAATCACAAAGGAGGCAAAAGTCTTTAAAAAGCGTTTAAAAATTGTAAATGATCATAGTCAATATATATATATATATATAACACATTTTTTTTATTTCTGCAAAATAATTATGTCATGTTCATCTCTTTAAATAAGCGTTATCATTGTTTGTTTAAAGAAAATGTACATGAAGACATAAAAAGCAGTTTTGTGTACATATTGAAGTAGAACTCCAAGAATCCATTATTTCTTGTATTTTGAACTTATGTTTAAATGTAATCAGCTTGGCAAATTTTGGAAGCAGTTTTTTTCTTTTATGTATAAAAAAATTAACTGTTTATCAAAAATACATTATAACATATTTTGATTAAAGAAGCAAATTGGTTTTGCTATTTGAGTTATCTAGCATTGTCTGTGCATATATGTCAGTGCGCTCATTTTATTGTCACCTAGATTGTAGATGTCTGCAAATTTTTAATTTTAAATAACTCTCTCCTTTTTGAATATTTATTCCACTGTCTTTTAAAATTAATTTTGTTGTTAGCATATGTAAGAATTTATTTGTCCACAGTGTTTAAGGTGTTAAATTCCACCTTAAAAATTTAAGTTGTTTATGAACATTCTGTGAAAAGAGCAAGCTTGTTTATATCAGCAGTAAAAGGGTAAATTATTAAAAAAAAATAATAATAATAAAAACCAGAAATTTTTCTAGCATTAAAAATTTTAAGCTTAGAATATTTATAAATCTAAAATTTCTGTTCTAGCAGTAATTGTTTTTAAATTAATTGCATGTCTGGAGCATAATAGTCGAATAAGCATCAGTTTTAAATTTAGGGGAAATATTATAGCTGTAGGTTTTGAAACAATTATTCATTCATCTATTTGTTCATTAATTTACAAGGATAAAAATTAGTTTGGCAACTTTTTTTGTTAACCAGTGCATCAATTTTTTAAACATACAATATTTGGATGCATTTTTACTAGAGTTCTTTACTGCTTTAAATTATTTCCTGCTCATTTATCTCTTTTCCTCAGCACTACATTTTTCCTTGGCATAATTTTCGTTGTATATAAATTGGATTTAAAATAGATAATAATTTTGTATTCTTTGAATCTTGATCAAGCAATTCATAAGGTATATTTTTGTTGTTGGTTGTGTGCAAATAATCTAAATTTAATGTAAAAATGAGGACAGGAGATGTAAACAAAACTCAGAAAGATATGGCCGGTAATCTGTAAAATTTATTAATCTGCATAATCTTTAGTCCTTAGATATACAGATTATTGGTATTCTATTGTAATAATCGTCCCCCTACTAAGACACATTAGATTATTTAAGCTTCATGTATTAATTTTAAATATGTTTATAGAGGCAGTTCACAAAAATTATCATATTTATTTAATAAATTTAAAAATATAATTTATCAGTTTTATTAAAATGTCTGACTTAAAGAGCTTTTATGATAATGCTTTTCCTTGTGTGTATTTAGTTAGTTATTGTTATATCAGGTTCAGCCATATAAAACTTGTGGTGAAATGGATAATCTTATGAAAAAAATGAAGCAGTTTTATTCTGCAGAGGTAAATATGAATATTATTTTGATTTATAGTATATTATGATATTGTTGATTATCTCTCTGAGAGGCGTGACTGCCTTTATCCAGTCATGAGATTGTTTTTGTCACTTGTATATATTAGCTTATAATTTAAAACAGTTTGCTTTCTTACTTTCTTTAATGATGTAAATATCATTGTAGTGAATGGAAGTTTATGAAAGCAGAAACTAAAATTAGCAATTGTATAAATTTAGCATATAAATACTGTTTAAATACTGGTCTTCATGACTATATTCAAAAATTCATGCCACTCAGAGGTTAATATGTAATATTGTTTGTTATGAGATGTTTTGTTTCATCACAGTTGAAACAGTTGTATTCTTGAATCCTACAGCATGGTTTTATAGTACTCAAATGACAAGTATAATTTGTGAATAGGATTTTTATCCTTACTCTATTATTTACATGAAATCTAACAAGATTAAAAGATTTGAGTTAAAATAATATGCTGAATAATGATTATTGGAAGAATTAAAGCAGCAAGAATTAGCATAATATTCATAAATTTGCTGGACTAGTTTTGAATGCTTAAATATAAGAAGGAACCTTCAAAACTAGTCCTGCAAATTTAAGAATATTATGCTGAATCTGATTGCTTTATTTCCTCCAGTAAAGGTTAAAATAGTTGAAACATTTTATTTTTAATATAGTAACAATTCTTCGTATTAGAAACCTTATATTAAATAACCCCTTCATATGACAAATTAATGAAGTTAAAAAATTAAAAAAAACTTTTGTATGATTGTTTTAAGTACAAGAAAGTTTTTAACATTCTTGTTTAGCATCTTATAACTCTTAAACAAGGTAGCAGTAATCCCTGAAAGTTGTGGCTCCTGGCAGATACAACGTTAAGTCTTGAAGTATTTGGAGAGTATATATTTTTGGTATTTTGAACTATTTCATGATTATTGGCCAGTTCTAGCAAGACTGTTTTGGAAGCCAGTTCAAAGGGTTGCATCTTGGTTTGGATGAATAGGTTGAGTCCACATGCTGAAAAAGACACTTCAATCAGTTCAAAGTAATTTGTAATGTGATGCGAGATTAGTATCTTTGCAAGAATTTAAATTTCAGTATTATGTGTCCAAAATGGTTGCCAGTGTTAATAAAGCATGGGATATTAGTATGAAAATGATGAAACTGCTCATAGACTGTAATAGTTTCATGCTGATGATGTTGACACATCAACTGTATGCTAGAAACTGGTTTCATTTAAGAGAGAAAATATAAGATAAAATATCCAAAAAAAAATCTGGAAGCTTTCAAATTTTATATTATGCCCAAAGAGGCCTTTTTTTTTTTTTTTTTTTTTTCCCATTTACACACATACACATTTTGAGAGCATTTAGGCTAAAAATATTTTTAAATAGCATATCTTTAGAATTTCTGATAGACTGTCTTGCATGCTGGAAATAAAAATGCCCCCCCCCGGTACAGTGTTGCTTCTGCTTACTTTGAAATCATTGAGTTTGTCAATCAAAAATTCATTAAACTTTTACAAAATATGAAATAGATGACAATAAATTGAATTCCAATTTTAGGCTTCCAGGTGCTCATATTCAGGTGGAGGACTATTTTACTCAATTTGTTGGCTCTGAGCACCATTGTTTTTTCACAGTGCAAGAAACATACATGCTGCCCAGACAGTATAGTGGTTAGGGAAGCTTCACTACGATACCAAAGCCTGGCTGCGATGGGAAATCCGAAGAAGACATGGTTGTAACTGTCTGTCCCTTCGTAGGAGGCAGATCCACCTATTAGGTGCCTCCATAATAAAGAGACCATCAAATCTGGCCTTGTATAGATTAATGGACTGTGTTATACAGTACAAAGTCTCTAATCCGGACCTCAAAGCTACAAACTTTATGCACATGCATAAACGTATAATGCGTTATTATTTTTTGCAGACTGTTAGAGCAATTTTATAAAAAGTAAGCTTGAACTTTCGATTATGTCCAAAAGAGTTTCAAATTCTGGAGCTGCCAAAGGATCTACAAAGCGAAAGCATGTTTTGATGTCCATCAAACCAAAACTGGAATTGCTGCAAAAAATGGATAAAGTCTCAAAATTATATGCATATCCGTCGCAAAATTATGCAAGGAGTATGACATTGGAAAGTCAACTGTATATGACATAAGCAAAAAGAAAAAAGAACTTTTTGAATATTTTGTGGATTCTGGCATCCCACTTGCAATGACTAACAGAAAAAGGGTTCGTTATGCTTAAAGTGACGATCATGACGAAGTGATGGATGTTTAATAAAGTAAACAAATAAATATTAAGCTTTTTTTTTTTTTTTTTTTTTTGTAAATTTTGATACCTTTTAGATTATAATTGCTCTTTATTTCATAAATTACAGTTTCATATTTTTAATTGTATAATTTCTGCATGCCATCTTACCAGATTTAAATTGATGATCTATAATCCGGAATCGCTGAAGTCTTGATGAGTCCGGATTACGGACTTTTGCACTGTACTGTAACTGTTCACAATCTGCCATTGGGGGGGGGAGCATAAATACTTTCATGCATTTTCTTCATTATTTAATTTCTTTAAACATAATACAGGGTGATAATATCTTGTGGCAACAATTTGAAAAGTGATAGAAAATTTTAGTGATTCAACCCAAAATGCTGTTTCAATACTAATAGCCCTTCTGGGCTAACATCACTTTGAGTTAAAAAACAGATTCTACAGTATATCACCGAAGAGCCAAAGCATTAGCACCTAAGATGACATTTGACCTATAAAACAGCTGCAACTCGCCTTGGCATATGTTTTTCTAAATAAAATATATTTCTTTTTCTGCTACTGCTGTTTTTAAATTTATGTCAGATTTGGTCAATAATACTACAAAAACCAGTAGATTGGATTGTAATGAAGCATAAAAGTCTAACTGCATAGTTCTTCATAAAGGGTATCATATATTTGCATTTTAAAAAGCTTAGTATTTTGAAATAAGGTTCTTAAAAGTCCTTAGGTTTTTTGGAATCAATTTTTGGTCCTTAAAAGTCCTTAATTTCGACCAAATTTGGAAGGAAGTCCTTAATTTTAATCATCTGAAATTTCTGCCTGTTTTTATGACTACCATTTTGAATGTGAATAAGCATTTTGAACGAATATCTTTGGCGATTCATTGACAAATATAGCTAAGCTATCTTTTGAATGGGTGAATAGGTTTATGGATTATAATTTGTTCCCATTTCAAATATAAACAGTGGGATACTCAAGTTTCTCAGCAAGAAGTGAAACATAAGCATTTCGAAATTATTTCATTTTTACAAATCAGGCGACTTATCAACATTTTGGCCATTTTAAGATCAGTTTCTATAGAAAATGAGGTTTAATTCGGAAATATGGGAATTTTTTAACGATATTTTGTTTAAAACATTATAACATTGATCAGTTTCATTAAAATAATGTTAATATATTGAAACTATTTAAAAAATAACATTAAAATAAAACAATTTTATTTTTCGCTCTTGTACTATAAAGTGACATTACCGTAATTTCCGGAAGAAAGGCCGCATCAGCGTAAACGCCGCACTCGAGAAAAATGGCGGGAAAAAAATTAAAATTACACAGAAACGCCGCATCAGCGTAAACGCCGCAATAGATTAAATTGCGCGTGACATCGTCGTGGGCCATATAGATGCAAAAACTCAACCTAAGTCCTGATATATGACATACCAGTTAAGAAAAATGCATGAAATGAAACCATAATTCAAAAATAAATTAAAGGTAAGAAATGTATAGCTTCTGTGCCGTTTAGAGATATTTTCAAAAATTTTCCGCTCCCTAATTAAAAACTATCCAACAAGTACTTGTATCCTAACTGATGGGATCTGTATTTGGCAGAATGCCAAGAAAAATCCATTCATGCTGAAGAGGAAATACGTCAGAGTTCGTTATTGCGAGGCAGGTGGAGTCGTGTCCGCCTTTGAAAAAAATTGCAGAAAAGGCAGGGGTGGAAAGAGGATGGGTCCTGGAAGATTCATCGAATGGCAAAGGAGAGAGACTATTCAAACTGATGAGAATGTTGATTTGAAAGGGGGAAGAATGTTATTGTTCTGAGATCTCGTTTAGGGTGAATAAGGCATGTAGGTCCGTTCAAGTGAAAGAATGTAAACAAAATAACGTTCGCAAAAAGCAACTGAGTGGTCTTTTGTGTGGGAGCAGCACCAATCTATGCACAGTGACAAGGCCATCCAAACTATGTACAATGACCATCATAGGAAATATTTTATTTTTAGTGCACCTAAACGCCGCATGGGTAGAAATGCCGCACCCGCTGAAAATTTAAGTTTTAAACACATAAACGCCGCGGCGTTTCTTCCGGAAATTACGGTACTTTCCATTGTGGTGACTTATTATACAATATTTTTAATCTGAAAAGTAAACAATGTAATAAATGCTTAAATTGCTCTTTAGCACAGTAACGAAGCAATTCTTAGCAAAAGCAAAATAGCTATGTAATTAATTAAAAATGTCTTTAAGTTTTTCATGGTAAATTTACATATTTTCACATATTGAAATTTGGCATCCTTTTTTTTTTTTTTTTTTTTTTTTTTTTTTTGAGCGATAATAATGCCAAATGTGGTTATGGATTTTTGTTGCAGTTGCTATTTCTACAGCTATTTCTAACCTTAAATTTCAAATAAATTTTTACGGAGAATTAATTATATAATTTTTTCCCCCTCAGTGATGCGTAATAAATATTTATTAATACTATATGAAAAGCTATTTTTTTTAATATGTATTTATGATATTAAAATTTTTAACTTTTTTTTAAATTTATTGCTTTCTTTTATCCTTTTTTTTTAAATATTTCTAAGAGTAAAAATTTTTACCTTTCGCCGTGTTATCGTCTGCTACTTTACTTTGACTGCATCTAAATTGAATTGCCTAAAACTGAGAAAGTTCGTTTGATGTTGTATTTTCACAATGTTTTTAAGCAAACAGGACATTGGCAGTTTGGGTCATGTCCCAGCTTTAAAAATTATATATATATATATATAAGTATAAATTTTTACATTAATCCTCTTTGAAAGAATGTTTTAATTGAGCTTGTGCTAACAGAAAAGACCAAAACGATATCATTGCAGATTAAAGTGAAGAGCGACTGGTTTTCGACTATATGTTTGTATAAATTTAATTTCCATTATAGAACATCATATCATCATAAATTAAGAATTCCATGATTTCTTAAGCAAATTATTTGAATATTCAGAAATTTATCCAGTGATGTATGTGGATGTCGCCTAAAGACGTTTTCCCTCCTAATGAATCCAGTCTTTCCTTTCATCTCATGCTTTAAAATGCTTAGCCTCTAAAGACTGATAAAGGCTCAGACCAAGTACTGATGAAATGGATTGAACTGGATTATTAAGTTTTGGCAAAGCAGGGCTATCTGCCCTAAAAGGAGGGGTCCTTCATGAAGAACTTTGTAAGGGAAACCAGCTAGCATTGAGAAAAACCATGAAAACGCTCACGCAACCAGCCTGTTTGCCGGGATTCGAAACCCGGAGCAAACTACCAGTGTTCAGCGACTTTACCACTCAGCCATTTGTGGGCCTTTATGAAATGGAAGGCGATCACTTTATTTAAAATGAATGCCAGAAATACCAAGATGTTTTGAAAAGTTGGATGCTTCTTAATATACTTGTAGAATGCCTAAAGAAAAATATAAATTTTTGCATAAAACTCAGTAGTTTTTTTTTTAATTTAAAATTTTTTAATCTTATTATATTTGATTCTTGCAATTTCAAAAATAAAATATTTGACTAAAATATGAATAACATTTTAAGAAACTAAATGTAGGATGATAAAATTGTGTAAAGCAATGAGCATAATGTTAAAGCTATTTAAAGCAGTGTATGCAAGTCATCCTAAGTTAAAATGTCGGTTATACATCTTTCTCATTTATATATCTTTTTTGAATGGAATATTGAAAAGGAAGGCGTAAATGTTTTACTATATTTTCTCTTTTAATATATTCAGTTTTCAGATGCATCGTAGTCTGGGACACAAAGTCTTCTGAAAGAAATGCAATTCAAATAAATAAAATAAAATCCTGGAAAATTTATATTAATAAATATATTTAAAATGCTCAGTTCGAATGAATAAATAGAAAATTTGAAGAGACAATGCAACACAATTTTTTTAAAAAGTCAAAAAAATTTTAAAAATTACCTAAATAATAACTGTGACAAAAAAAAAAAAAAAAAAAACTATTTAGAAAATAAATAAATAAATAAACGAAGCACCTTATAATTTAAACTATGCAGTTCAAATGGGTAAATGTATAATATAAAGAAGATTATTTGAAAGAAAAAACTTTGTGATTTTTTTTCCTCTCACAGGAAAGGAAAATAGGTTGCCAAATATTTAAGAAGTTTGCCAAGTGAACTACTATTCTTGGCGCAAACTGGGGGGGAAGGAAGCACAAACATAAATTTGTGAATTTCTCCTTAAATTCCGTGCCAAATTTTACAGAATTTCATAGTTGGGCATAATTAGAATCATAGAATCGAAATATGGAAAAAAATTGGTATGTTTCTTCAGAAAAAGGTCTGATTTCGTGTCAAAATAACTATGTTAGAATAGAGCTATATATAAATCTAATATATATCCTAAGTCACGTTTTTGAGACATGAAGAACGCAATTTGAATTTCGTCAATCGGCCCAGTAGAACGGGAGATGGAGAACTGTCCCATTTTTTTTTCCTGCAGTGTACATAGTGGAGAGATTGACAGGATAGGAGATAAAACACCCAGAAACTATTGCGAATATTGGTTTGCATATTGAAACAAGTTTCTAATTATTAGAAAAAATGTTTAAAGAGAAGGAAATGATATAAACTAGCCGGAATGTTGAAAGGCTTGAAATTAAAAAGATGTGTAAATATTTTGTTGAGTATTGTTGCTACATTAAACTTTACCGTGGTCACAAGATCCAGGACAAAAATGTAAAAATTGTGTTCTTTGCATCTAATGAGACTTGAAATAATACAAAACAACTTATCACCTCTGGCGCTTCAGTGGCTTACTAGAACCTTAACATATATTAACTGGGTATTCCTGAGTAACCCCAGGAACTTTAAACAAAGTTATGGTACTAACTGCATTAGATAGGCAGAGCACAACTAACTTTCAAAACTTGCCAACCATATCTACATCAGGCTTTCAGGTTTGTTCGGATCAGCAGACCTCTCTTTAGGCAAGCAGCAGCAGTGGCAACAGCCAGTCTTCTGTAACGAATCATGCTGATTGGTTACAGCCGAAAACATCGCAGACGAAAACGTTGCGGAGAAAACAATGCAAGGCGAAAACATCGTGGAAAAAATCATCTCAGTTCTAAAACATCGTTGTCGAAAATAAAGCGGTTAAAAAACTTCGCAGTTTAAAAACATCGTTGTAGAAAATATCAAGGTAAAAAATAAAGTATCTACAAATCATCGCATGACGATAACATCACAGACATGTTTTTTTTTTCAGGTTTGAATAATTGTAAATGGATATTCCCATAATGATTTGTGAACTCATGGAAAGAAGGATAATTTTTACTTTCATTTTTTTTATTAGCTAATAAATTTTTGCTGAGAAAATAAGAAGAAAATTTAAGCATAGAAAATTAATGCAACTTATAGCACTTAATAGAATTTTAAACCGACATAGTTAACTAACAAAGGCCATTAATAAATCATTTTTTATGAAGTTTTTTACTGGTAATTTTCATGAAAAGTGTAATCTATAGTTGCATTTAATTTTCTATGCTTAAGTTCCTTCTTACTTTTCAGCAAAAATTTATAGTTAATAAAAATATGAAAGTAAAAATTATTATTCTTTACATCTTGCGCTCACAAATCATTCTGGGAATATCCATTTACAGTTATTCAAGCCTGAAAAATTCATGTCTGCAATGTTATCGTCATGCGATGATTTGTAGATACTTTATTTTTTACCGTGATATTTTCGACGGCGATGCTTTTAAACTGCGAAGTTTTTGAACCGCTTTATTTTCGACGACGATGTTTTGTAGCACGACGTTTTCGCCTTGCGTTGTTTTCTCCGCAACGTTTTCATCCCCGATGTTATCGGCGGACACCTGCTGATTTATGATTTTACTTCTCAATTAAACTTATGCCATTTGACATAAAATCTACCTGCTATTTACTAAACCTTGAAACTGAGTAAGTACGCGACAAAATGAAACATAAAAGAAAAATCATCATGAAGTTAACTGTTAGTAAAATGTAAATAAAATGTTACTAATCTTCCTTCAAATATGTCCAACTATTATAATGGTAAACTATTAAATTATGTTTAATAATAATGAGTTCTACTTGTGGATCTATTTTATTCTTAGGATGGTATCACAAAAGTGAAGTTCAGGCATAGCAAATATCCTTAATTGAATTTATTCAGTTCCTATTTGTTGATGAATAATTAATTTATTTTCATTAATTGTCCTTAAAGAACCTTAAGTAAAAATACTTAATTTCCATGTGCAGAAATGTGTACAAATCCTGTATATAGAAGTTTGAGTAGCTTAATCTGAAGCTAAGTAACTTTTTTTGAGTTCTTAAAGAATGAATCTTTCATGAAAATAGAAAGGAAGTAAATGTGAGTGAGATTCTATGATAATAGTGTAATAGTCTATGATAATAGTAATCATTCTATGATAATAGCCTACGTAAGCATTTTATTACATGCTTAAATTTCATATTAAATACATAATAGCTAATACCAAAGGGTTTTAATACTTCTTGTTTTATACATTTACAGTGCTTATAGTCACTCCTACTTCTTATAAATTATATATAACTATAAAGTTCATCTTTTATTATGAGGGCCAGTAGTATATGTTAAAATGCTTTCACCATAGGCTTGAAAACAGTTTTTGAATTTCTTAAATTGAATTATTTTCCAAAATGCATTTAAGATTAATTGACTCTAATTATAATAATTGATTATTTTTAAGAAAGGATTTTCATCAGTTTTAATGGCAAAATCTCAATTTAAAAATATTTTTAACTAAGTTATTAGTATTTATTTTGTTTTTGAAATGCAAATAATTATTTTGTAGAATAGAAAAACAATGTAACTAATTATTTTACTGTAGGAAAATTCTTGTGATATGCATCTGAGTGTGTTAAAAGAAAATGAGTATTATGCTGCTTTACACACTGATAAATTGTGGTATCGAGTTCGATTAGAAAGGGTTATTCCTGGAGAACCAGTCATGGTAAGCAGCATAAGGTTATTTGTATATTATTTTTATCTATTTATAGTAACTAAGTTATGAATCCATGTATAACTATTTCATAATGTGTTTTACAGTTTCTTTGTAGTTCCTTTTTAACGCTATTTATCAGTTTTTAAGGTTTCATTAAATTGCATTTTAAGTTTCTTGTATTGTTTTGTTAACAAGTTAAACTGTCAGTCGGGACCCCAAATGGAGCCACAAAAGTGATGTGTTGGAGGTCATGAAAATTGACTTCAAATACACAAATTTAAAGAAACATTAGTTGCACTCCCTTCATTATCTTTAATTTAATATATTACTTTTTTTGCACCATACTCATAAAAAAAGTAATACCCTTCAAATCGAGCTGCAAATTGTATTTATTGAAAAATACCAGTAAGCATATCATAACAGTGATCATATGAAAATTTCAGCATACAAGTTATTTCAGAATCAAAAGTACTTTGCAATCCACAGTACATAATGCCCTGCAACACATAGGTGTGCCAAAAATAAGTTCAGGACCACTGCAAATAGTGTAGTAATTAACACTTTGCCAGTGTAGCTCAGTTGTTCTTTTTCATTGCAGCAAGTATGTACGTCTTTTTCATTGCAGCAAGTAAGATCAATATAATATTTTACTTGTCTAAGGTTAGTATTTATTTGAATTATATTTTAGGATAAAAATATTTTTTATCCATGTATAAATGGTAAAATTTGTTTAAACGAATGTAATGATGTAGATAGCAATACTACAAGTCTCTTCAAGCAGGATCTTTTAATTAGAAAGAGATATCTAATGTGCCCCGCACCCTCCCCCCCAAGAAAAAAAGAGGTGAAACATTTCTCCAGTTTGCCTTAACTTTAGGCAGTTGTGATGATAATGAGCAATTTCTTTTAGCAACATATTAATGACAAACCAAACAAACATTTGTTTAATTTAAAATAACAGTTTGGCTATAGGGAGTATAATACCGATCAAAAGCCAGGAGGCCTGGCTGAGGCTGTTCAACAGCACCGACAACTTGGAGATTAGATACATGGCATTAAATTCACGTTTTCATAGAGATATTAGGGCTAAAAGCCATGAGCTCTCTCAAAACATTGCTACTGCATTTGGAACAATACTTTTCAGCAACCTGTATTCAGACACATAGGACAAAAGGAATTTTGTGCACAATGGCTAGTATGCTCTGTGCCCTTCTCTACAGATCACAAATAAGAGCCCATCTTTTGTGACACCAAGGCCATGTCCTTTTTCTGTGATGGAATACTTCAGCGGTGAAGCAGTTGAAGTCACTGAGAACTGGTAATTTGACCTGAATTCAATTCCAGGCAGACGAGCTAGCTGCATAGGTGTTTTTGTGAATAAAAACCAGTTTCCTTTCAGAAAGTCCACCACAAGGGCATCTATCCCCTTAGGCAGATAGCCCTTAAGTGTTTTGATATAATCAAGTAAACCTAATCTTTTCAGCAATGAGTCAGGATTCACAGCAAGGAGGAATTTTATACAAGGCTTCATTTGGGGAATCTTCTCCAACATAAGGGAAGTCTAACATAAGAGTCCAACATAAGGGAACCAGGGAATTGATAGAATCCTTGTGTGAAGATGTATATTTTGGACAGCTACATACCACTTTGTGTACTCCAGGAGTCGGCAACCTTTTGGTCATCTAGGGCATAAAATAAAATGTTAAATTCTTAGCGGGTGCCTTCCATTCAAGTTTCATAATCAAACATTATATTACAAACTAGTTTTGTTTAAAAGATGTAACTTTATTGAATATGTTGCTGATATCATCAGTGCTATCAATAGCTTCAAGTCAATGTCAGAATTGTACAGGTCTCATCTCTTAAGAAAATAGTTAATGCATTTTCCCAATACCCCCCCCCAAAAAAATGCCAGAAAGTCTGAAAAAGGCTAACAGACTCATATCTTCATATTGTATCTGCACTGCAAACTGAACTTGATTCTAGATTTGTTGAATTTACTTTTAATTTACTTTGCAAATTTAGAGCCTATTTTAAAATTGTTTATAAATCCTTTTAATATTACTGATGGAGAAAACACAGCTACAGCAATTTTTAACTACTTTCATCTTAACAATACGGGAAAACTTTGAAATAAAAAGGATGTTATTTTAAAACCATAAGAAACTAGTAAACTATTTTGGAGCTTGGTAAACAGAAATCAGTATCCAATTTTAAAGTCATGTGCAGTAATTCATTATTGAATTGTTTTTTTTTTTTTGTAATAACAGTGATTACATCCTGGAATTCAATTATTTTTGCACACAGTGATTGCCATTGTATAATGCAGTGATATGAATAAATTTTAGGGAAAAAATCTTGTTCGTACCAAGCAATGAATCCGATATTCTTCCTTGTCTTGACTTACATACCGTCAGTAGTTATTGAGGATAATTTCTCCATTTGTATTTCAGTGTCAAACAAAAACGTTTTTATTGCACAAAATAAATCATTTCCTCATGTGTACTCCTTAAGCAGTAGTATTTTTAGAAACTCTTCTTTTATGGTAACATTATCAAAGGCCATCTTGACACTTATTGTCCATTGTGCTGTTTCTTTTCAAATTATATCTTTTGATTCGTTCAGTTGTAAAGAAAAAAAAAAGCACATTTCTTCATACCTTTTATCAGTTGGATTTAAGTAGCCTGTGATTGTTTTAATTCTCCTTGTAACAGTTCTAACTGACAATTGCATGGCATTTATGGCCGAAATAATTTCTTTTTTATTTTAAAAATCTGCAAAAAGTATGTCTGGAGATTGCAGCATTGCTTGTTTTATTATTGCTGCAGCCGTATGTGGCTTTTTTTCTTAGCAAGTGTATGTGAAACTTGTTGTTGATTGTTGTTGCCTTTGATGTTTCCAACAGTTTGGTAAAAGTAGATTGTTGCTTTGAAATCAATGACTGTAATGATAAAATTTTATGTCTTCGAAATTCAGAAAGCTCAGGATACTCTTTAAAAGGTCTCTCAAGGTTACTTGGAATTGCTACTCTTTTGTTGCATAATAAGCATATATGTTTGTCTGTATGATTTATAAAGCAAAACTGGTGCTCTCATTCTTCATTGAAATTATAAATATGTGCTTGCTTAGCTTTGTTCATCGTGGGTTGTTACAGTCATCAGTTTGTAAGCAAATCTCTATAAGAAAACATCCTGGATGATTAGAGTATGTAAATGAAAATGATAGAGCAGCAATTCTCAACCTTTAGACTAATGGGTACCATCTAAACAAAAATTGAAGAACTTAAGTATCACCACTACATTTTATAATGTTTATTTTTCAGTTTCTCAATAGAAATATTAAAAATAATATTTTGCCATTTGCACAACCTAATTAGCTATTTGTATTAAATATGCAGACATGGAAAAATATTAGATTAAAAATTGGTTGCATTTTGATTATTAAAATTTAAGTTATAATACTTGAATTCTAAAATTTAATGTGAAATGTGGGCCTGTGTAAGAGATATCAATTTCTCTATGTCTCGTGTTATTTCAGAGAGCTTTAACCGCAAATTAGGATGCACTTTAATTTTGTTCTGTATTTATTCTTCAAATATAACATGAAAGAAAATCCTTGTACATACAAATAGGTTGTGCAAAAAGGGCAATAAAAATAATAGCTTTATTTGAAATGTCTTTAAATTCTTTTTTTCATTTCAGCCAAAAGTTAATGAGTGTGTTATTTTTGAAATCTTCAGTTAGATTTCGATCACAGGAAATTTCTATCAATTGTTCTTTTTCCTCATGAGATTTTTAAAATTTAATAGTTAAAAATACTGTGTTTTCTTGAGTACTATCAGTTGAGAATCACTACAATAGAGTACATACACATACCTTGTAATTATTTTTTCACTGCCTGTCTAAAAGTTGGAAATTCGGGGTATGTTTACAAATTAATCAAAATTGCCACAGGCAGACAGACAAAGTAGAGAGATATCTTGTATTGCATTCACTAAGTATTTTTGCCAGCAGATACTGTTGACTGCATCAGAGATGCTACGGTTAAATTCATCAGCCACGCCGCGCTGTTGGGTTCGTCGGATTTGAGTTTGCTCCACTCGACAGTGAAACATTTTGAATAGTGATGGTACTATAAAGGTGGCTGTTTGATGCATAGCTGTAAAAATGGATAATTTTAATATGTATTCTATCCTTATATGTAAGGATAGAATACGTATTAAATTTATATATATTATTTATATAGTATGTATTTAATTTGTATTATATACCAAAAACTCCAAAATTGCACACAAAGAATAATTTAGCACACGAGAGCATTGGCAGCAGGTGCCAAGTTGCTGACTTTTGATGTAATCAGTGTTGACACTGTGACCATGCAGTTTTGTAGGTATGAGGTTCTCAAACTTTATATAAGGGTTTTTCATCATGTTGGAGAGGACTTTATTTTTATGGATCTTAATGCAACAGTTCAGAGAAAGAGGGTATGATGAGAATAGTAAAGTTGCTACACTTAAATTGTGTAGGGGATGTTTGGAAGTCTCTTCGAAAAAGCCATTGTATGACATCAACACCTTACCAGAACTCTCCATACATTAAAATTATCATTTTCAGAAGAATGAGATTTGCTGCTGTAAGCTATGATCAACAACCTCATTTACAGCTTGAGGGCCATTTGTGAGGCATATAAAGCTGTGTGTAAAGGACACGCTCCATATTAGCCAAATCCTTCTGAAAATATGAGTGCCATGTTTGGCTATTGTTGATTTCATTTGTATATCACCAAACATTTATTCTCTGTTCTTCCTATGCTAATTTTAGCTGTCTTGTAGTAATATGAACCAGATTTCATTATAATAAGCCATGCAGAATTATTTTTCAAGGTATTTAAAAAATATCATGTTGTGTGTTTTTCATTTTAATTTTTTAAAACTAGTATATTTTACCTCAAAATAATGTTTTAGTTAGCGTTTGAATCTAAATGATGGATTTTGAAGGGACTGAAGTCAA